GCAAGCATAATCATTAATACATTTGTATAAACTGAGTTCGATAACCAGTTTTACGTATTCTGTTTGGAACAGTGTTCTAACGAGTTTTTAAGTACAAACTAACCAGTTGGAACAGGATAACATCCCTACTTGCTGGAGTAGTTGAACATGATACAATTGCTGTGTTAGAACTTTCTTGATAAGAATATTATAGATGATCGACTCTAAGTTTATGAAATTTATATAAATGATCATGCTTAATGTGATACCAATGTGTTTCAACGATCATAGTGGTTTTAATATGGGAAATATTTTCATTAGCCAATCTTACCCATAAAATCTATTTGTTTTTTGAATATTATTCCTTCAAAGGTATACCCACAACCAGATTAAATCATTAGATTTGCAAAATTAAAAAATTTCATTAACGTATTCCTTCCAAATTTCACTTGAATCTATAACAAAACTACTATCAGATTTTGGTAGCAACATATGTCTACTTGAATGATCTTTGATAAATTCGATTACTGTCTTATGTAATTTTAAAGGACAAACAATTGCTGAATTTGTATAATTTATTACTCCCCAGTTAGGATCTATTGATGAGCATTCTTCATGTACAAATATGGGATTATAAGAATAATATACACTAATTTTATTTGAAGCTAACTATTGTTTGATTGCACGACGTACGTACTATATATATAATTGTATATGAGCTTCTGGCCAAACTGTTTGTGCCGTATTTATTTCGAAAAAATCTTTGTCAACTAATATAAAAGGAAAATATTTTAAATATTAATTCTTTAATGCTTGTATCCAATATGTAAGAATTCCTGTTATGTTCTGATTTTTTCAGTTAAAATCAAAAGATAACTAAATGAAAATCAGGTACTATCAATTACTCCCATAAGCACATACAATTTCCATAATAAATTATTTGTACCGTACATTGCATCAATTACTATTGCATCTAATTTATTAAAAATTAATCGATGGAATAATGATATTAGAAATCCAAGTACAGGTATAGACAAATTAAAATTATTTGTAAATTAAATTTATTTAGTAAAAGTTTTGCAGATAATAAAGGATCTAAATGTCGACAATATATCTTTCATGATTCCACTAAGCACCAATAATAAATTTGTTGAATTGTTATACTCTCATATTTATTGATTTGAGTTTCACAAACTTGATAACAAATTTCAAAAAAGAAACAATTAATATTATCTTTAATGAATTGTTTTATTTTAGAAGATGTTTCTATATGACTTGGTCGTGGATATAGCATTTTATAAGAATATTTTACTACAATTAAATCCAATTTAGAAAAAATTTCGATCTTTATAGTCTCTTCACAATGATATCTTTCTAAAAAGGTAGATGTATCTCTTTGTTTGTCTAAATCTGGATACTTGGCTTGACGTTTTTCAAGTTCTATTTGGCAATTATAGTAATATATTAAAAGAAAAGATTTTTGTTTTTGATTCTTGATATGATAAATCTACAAGTATCCGTCACTCTTGATATTAATAAGATTATGTGATGACCAAATTCAAAGTTAAGATTTTCTTTATTAGTCTCTTTTTGTTCTAAAAGAAAATCTTGAAAAGACAAAAGCTCAATATTAAAATTAATATATAACTCCTTATTTTCTTCTTCGTAAAAATCATTAGTATTGTTTAAAGAAATTAAGAAGTTATATACTGTTTCAATAATATCTGTATGACTTATTGTTGGTTCAAGTGAAACTTTATTTTTTAGACACTTTGTTTTAAGTTTGTTTTGACATATTAAATATTTTTTCAAAGAAACACCTTTTTCATTCAGAAATTCATCATAATTTTTGGATACATAGCATCTTTCGCAAGCTTGTTCTTGTAAATTTGACATAGTAAAGGCAAAGCAAAGTCAAAACAATTATTGTTACATAGTGATTTACTTATTTTAGTTAATTAATATTACTAAATAAGTAATCATCATTAAATTATATAATACATTATTTTACTGACAATCAGTATCAACAACCCTAGCGTCACTATAAAAAAATAGTAGCCAGATTTTTTTTGCCAGTTAGCTTACATATAATTTCAAAAAATAATTGTCAGATAAAATCTTAAAATATAACATAACAAATTTAATTAGCAAATCACGAGTCATCTGAACAAATATTGTTTTTTTTTATATATAAATTTTACTATAAGCTTGAATGTAGAACGTGTTTATCTAAAACTTTTTTTTTTACTAAGTAAATCACTTTTGAGCTTGTAACAAAAGTTGTAAAACTCATCAAGAAGCATCTAATGGTAGTAAAAACATTAAAATCAGCTTGGTAGTTCTTGAGAAATCTTTAAAAAACTTCTTT